CCTGGGCAATGCCTTTTTTTTTAAAGATTTTAGGGATGCCTGGGTGGCTCAGTTGGTTAAGCGACTGCGTTTGCCTCAGGTCATGATTCTCCCTTTCCCTCTGCCTGCTATTCCACCTGCTTGTACTCTGTCAAATAAGTAAATAAAATCGTTAAAAAAAGATTTTATTTGTCAGAGAGAGAAACAGAGAGCTCGCACAAGCAGGGGGAGCGGCAGGCAGAGGAAGAAGCAGGCTCCCTGCTAAGCAAGGAGCCTGATGCGGGACTCAATCCTGGGACCCTGGGATCATGACCTGAGCCAAAGGCAGACGCTCAACTGACTGAGCCACCCAGGCATCCCTGGGCAATGCATTCTTAATGGCAGAAATGTGGCAGGTTTTCTAGCAAAGCTTCAGCCACCCTGGACCACACCAGGCTGTAACACCCCATGTTGGTACCTTTTTCCAAGTTTTAGCTCCCCTCCAAAATCTGCTTGTCTTTGTTCCACAGCTTTCAGATAGTTGTGGGGTTTTTTTTTAATTTTTATTCAGAGTTTATTTTTATCTTCAAGAGAGTTAATCCTCTGGGAATCTATTACCAAACCAGAAACAGAACTCCTATATAATCTTGATATATATTTAAAATTAATCTTACACAGTAAAAACTCAGTGATAAAAAGACTTTTGTTTTGGAGAAATACACACCTTTAAAGCACTGATATATTTTGCTTGGGTTGTCAGGACATAAAGCAGCAAACAATGATAATTTGATTATTTCAGCTATCCAAGCTTAACAAAATAGAAGTAACTGGTAAATGAACCATATTCCATTATTAATGGATTAGCTTAGTCCTGGTTATCTGAGAAATGTCTTTGCCCACTTCACCAGAAGGAAGATCATAATATCCACAATTAGCATCACAGATTCATAAAATGACAAAAAAAAAAAAAAAAGATTTTTTTAAGGTACCTGGGTGGCTCAGTTGGTTAAGCAGCTGCCTTCGGCTCAGGTCATGATCCCAAAGTCCTGGAATCGAGCCCAGCCGGGGGTCTGCTTGAGGAGTCTCTCTCTCCATTTCCCTCTGCTTCTCCCCCACCTCCCCCACCCTGCTCATAATCTAATATAAATAAGTAAATCTTTTAAAAAAAGAATGTCGGGGCGCCTGGGTGGCTTAGTCGTTAAGCGTCTGCCTTCGGCTCAGGTCATGATCCCGGGGTCCTGGGATCGAGCCCTACATCAGGATCCCTGCTCCTCAGGAAGCCTGCTTCTCCCTCTCCTTCTGCCCCTGCTTGTGTTCCCTCTCTCGCTGTGTCTCTCTCTGTCAAATAAATAAATAAAATCTTTTAAAAAAAAGAAGAAGAAGAAGAATGTCAAGTTTCCAAATATAATTATTTATATATATTAGAAAAAGTGTAGTTTTCAAAAGAAAATTTGGACAATTTCAACTAATTATTGTTAAGAACCTCAAATACTAAATTAAGCCATTAGCTTAGTAAATTCAGACTCCAGAAAACAAATATAAACTTACATGCACTTGCTTGTTTGCTTTTGTGGGTTTTTTTAAGATTTTATTTATTTATTTGAGAGAGAGAGAGATAGCCAGAGACAGCACAAGTGGGGGGGGGGAGGGGAAGGCTCCCCACTGAGCAGAGAGCCCGAGGAAGGGCTCCATCTCAGGACCCTGGGATCATGACCTGAGCTGAAGGCAGACACTTAACTGACTGAACCATCAGGCGCCCCCCACCCTGGCAAGTAATTTTTGATAATCAATTTCTGACCCACAAACACTGAGATAATGCCAGTAAATTTTAGAGTAATTCATTACATAGCAATGGGTAATTAACAGTTTATTCCTTCTGGATTTCTTCAGAACAAATGCCACAAAGTGCTTACCATAGACTTATTTTGTGATTTTAACAGTTTTATTTTTTAAGAAGCCTTTGGGAAACTGAAAAGAACATGAACCTGATAGCTCTGGCCCTGCAGCTCTGCACTTGCTGATTGTGTGCACTTGGGTTAGGTACTCTTTGTTTCTGAACTTCAGAGTCATTATCTAAAAATAGGATTTTTACCTTGGAGTGGGACACCTGGGTGGCTCAGTCTAAGTGTGTGCCTTCGGCTCAGGTCATGATCCCAGGATCCTGGGATCAAGTCCCGCATCGAGCTCCTTGCTCAGTGGGGAGCCTGCTTCTCCCTCTGCCTGATGATCCCCCTGCTTGTGTGCACTCTCTCTCTCTCTCTCTGACAAACAAAATCTTTAAGAAAATAATAGATTTACCTTAGAGGGCCACTGTGAGCACTAAATAAGCTAGTTTGTTAAGTGCTTGATATAACCCTGGGATATATTAGGTGCTTGGTAACTAAGTCTCTCCCTACCCCACATGTCCCTACCTCATCTAGCTTTTCTGTACACTTTCTGAAATCTGTCCCCAATGGCCAACATTTTTTTTTAATTTTCAAATAACATTCCTTTTAATGATCCAAACCAGAAAAAATATGGAATCTCGAGCCTTACCCCAGTCCTACTGAATTGGAATCTAACTTTTAACAAATTCCCCAGGTGATAAGCAAATTCATCGAAACATAACAAGTACTGGATTAGTACATATCCCAACTCTAACATGGCCAAAACAGAGCCTATGTGCCTCTCCAAACCTGCCTCACCTCAGGCTTGGCCGTTTAAGTAAATGGTATCATCCAGGTGTTTATGCCAAAAACACGGAGTCATCTTTGATAGTTCCCTCTCCTGTGTCCTTCACATCTAACCAATCACCAAGTCTAATTCCAAGATATATCTGCATCTGTCTCTTTCCATCCCTACCCTCTCATCTAAGCCACCATCTTCTCTCACCAGGATTACAGCAGCTGGGCCAACTTATCCAGTACGTATATAGGAGGCACAGTGGCTGGGCTCCATCATAATTTCAGGGGCCCTCAAAAACATTTTAGTTTAAAATTATAATAAAAAACTGGGGCGCCTGGGTGGCTCAGTCGTGAAGCGCCTACCTTCGGCTCAGGTCATGATCCCAGTGTCCTGGGATCGAGCCCCGCATCAGGCTCCCTGCTCTGCGGGGAGCCTGCTTCTCCCTCTCCCACTCCCCCTGCTTGTGTTCCCTCTCTCGCTGTGCCTCTGTCAAATAAATAAATAAAAATATTTTAAAAAAAGAAAATAAAATAAAAATAAAATTATAATAAAAAACAAATGTTTAGGTCAAAAAATGTTTTCATGTATAATATTAATATATTGGCCAGCAGTCATAACGTACAATTTTATAATTGATTCTGATGAATATTTACATAAATATACACTGATGTAACCACCACCTACATCAAGACACTAAGTAATCCTTTTCAAAATTTTACTTCAAGTCATGACATAGAATTGCGTAATTTTATTGCATAAAAATAAAATCCTTCCATGTTTTCCCAACCCACTTGGAATAAAATCTAAACTCCTAAACATGGTTTACAAAGCCTCACACGATTCAACTCCTATCTCTCAAACTTCATCTTGTACCACTCTTCCTCCTCCCTCACCATATCCCAGCTACCAGCTTTTAAATTCATCAATTTGTCAAGGCGGTGCTGTCCTGGAGCTTATGACCCAGCTGTGCATCCTCTGCCTTCTACTAAAGCTCTTCCTAAAGATGTTCACAGGACCGGCTATTTGTAATCCAGATCTGTTCTTTTTTTTTTTTTTTTTAAGATTTTATTTATTTATTTGACAGAGAGAGACGCAGCGAAAGAGAGGGAATACAAGCAGGGGGAGTGGGAGAGGGAGAAGCAGGCTTCCCGCTGAGCAGGGAGCCCCATGTGGGGCTCGATCCCAGGACCCTGGGATCATGACCTGAGCCGAAGGCAGACGCTTAACGACTGAGCCACCCAGGCGCCCCCTGTTGTTCTTTTTTTAAAGATTTTATTTATTTATTTGACAGAGAGAGGGAGGGAGGAAGAGAGAGGGGCAGCTTGCACAAGCAGGGGGAGTGGCAAGCAGAGGGAGAAGGAGAAGCGGACTCCGCACTGAGCAGGGAGCCTGATGCGGAGCTCCATCCCAGTACCCCAGGATCATGACCTGAGCCAAAGGCAGACGCTCAACTGACTGAGTGACCATCCAGATGTGTTTAAATGTCACTTCCTCAGAGGCCTTCCCTGACCAGGCAGTCTAAAGTTGCATCCAATCATCTTTTAATCAAAACATCTTAATTACCTGCAGAGTGCTTATCATTTCTAATATTCATTCACTGCTTATTGTCTCTTTCCCTCACTGGACTATAAAGTCCTTTGGAGTTTTGTTTTCTGTTTTATCAAAAAAAATGCCAATAACAGTGCCTGACACATGGTAGGCGCTCAATGAAAATTTTCATTAAGTAACATACTAATACAGTATATGATAATATATAATAAAATGTAGCATTAGGTAGAGGAAGCATGGATAACACTCGGCTGTGAAATCATAAGGGCCCGGATCTGACTGAAGGTAGTCGATAAAATGAAGGACTAATTGAGGTAAAAGTCCATGGCAATTAAGTGTTCGATATTTGTTACTTTCTTATTCTTCTAAACATAACCAATTAAAACCACCCTTAGGCAAGATATTGGGCTTGTTTTGCTTCAACAAAAATTGATTAAAAAAAAAAAAAAGCTCGGGGCGCCCGGGTGGCTCAGTCGTTAAGCATCTGCCTTCGGCTCAGGTCATGATCCCAGGGTCCTGGGATCGAGCCCCACATTGGGCTCCCTGCTCGGCGGGAAGCCTGCTTTTCCCTCCCCCACTCCCCTTGTGTTCCCTCTCTCTGCTGTGTCTGTCAAATAAACAAATAAAATCTTTTTTAAAAAATTAAAAATTAAAAAAAACCTCAGTAAATTAACCATATATGTCTTCACACGTGGAAAACCAAAAGAAAAGAAACTTAGAATCTTCCCTTTCATAAAGTCAATTATGGCACTCATTCCGGGTTCCAGCCCACCTCCATTCGGTCCCAGACAACTAGAACCAGCATGCCTAACCCCGCCCCTTCCGCTTACCCCACTGGCAGGAAGTCGGCAGATCGTGAAACCCGCCCCCTCGTCCGCGCGTAGCCCTTCGTAAAGCGTGAAGGATTTCGCGACAGCCCAGGCCCCACCCCTTTGGCCACATGTCGCGCAGGTCTTCCCGTCGGACGCCGCGCCACCTCCTCGCGCTGCTTTACGAACCTAGAGCAGCGCCGCCCCGCCTCCTGTCTCTCTCCTCACCTCCCCGCCCCCTCCCAGTTTCGCATCTCCTAGCCCGACGTCCCGCTATAATCACGTGATTGCCTCATCCGGGTCCTTTGCGTTCTCTCTCCCTCTCCCAACATGGCGGCCTCAGGTGAGTGAGCGGCCGAGCGCGGCCAAGGACCAGGCTCATTAGCCACTCTCCGAGCCTGATCCACTGATTCCCTGGAGTCGGGGAGCGGGCGGCACCGCTTTCCTTCGGACTTTGGTGCTGCGGCAGGCTGGCGGCTTGGCCATGTTAGGTTATCGCCTCGGGATGTTTGGGGGGAGGGGAAGGACACCTTCCCCTCCCCCTCACACCCTTTTCACCCCGTCAGCGCGAGGTTGGAGCGGGGAGTAATGATGGACTCTGGCTTGAGTTGGAGTGATGAGGAGCAGAAAGATCTCTGGGAGGCGTGAGGGCGTCTCATAGACGTGAAGCACTGTACCCGCGTGGAGGAAGGAAGGAGGCGGTTGGCGCGCGGACGGGTGCACAGTAGACTACGTCTCCCAGGCGCGAGGCCGTTGCGGTCGGGAGTGGGGGCAGGGGAATAAAGGGGGGGGGCAGTTAGAACACGAGCGCGAGTCGGTGGAGGGGCGGGGGAAGGCAACGACGCGCGTGCGCGGTAGGAGAGACGAGGGTAGCGGAGACCGGCGCGCCTGAAAAGCACGCGCGAGGGCCCAGATGGGAAGGTTTTCCGCGCATGTGGTGCTTTCCCTTATGTCCTTCCACTTTGTTTTTCCCGTTTTAGAGTGTGGCCCGGTCCATATATTTTTCCAAGTGTAAATGTGATAGGTTTGGAGGATAACTGGAGTTAGGTGGGGGTGGGGAACCCAGTGTGGTGCGCCCACGTGTTGAAGGAGAGAAAGCAAGGGTGGAGACCTAGGTTTCTTCTAGGTTTTTTTTTCTTGTTCAGTCAGTACCTATTTACTGACCGCAGACTAAGCTAGGCATGGTTCTAGGTGTCGGGGATGGATAAAATGGTGAACAAGATCAGAACCCTTGACAGCTTCCATTTTGGTTTATTTTGATAGCTCCGATAGTAGAGTTAGGTTTTTCCTTTTTTTTTTTTTTCTTTTAAGAGAACTGCACAACTGGGGAGTGCTTTTGAAATAATACTGGTGGATAGAGTTGAGGTTTTTTTAGACGACTTTGGAGTAGGGAATATCAGTGACGTACAGTCAGCTTGCATTTCTCAAGGACTTGGCAGTGGGCTTTGGAACATTTTCAGCATTCATTTATTTTAGTTCGGGGGATGATAGTTTCTCTGTCATGATCATGCATTCTGCAAAACAGTGCTTGAACCCTTGCTATCTCTGGACACTCATTTCTCACAAAGAATTTATTTCCTCTGTTACGTAAGAGACTAAGAATTATGTATGTTTTTGGAAAACGTTGAAGAAATTGAGGTGCATTTGAACATAATACCTTTCATTGGTGTAGCACTTGACAGTTGACTCGGCTCTTGTGTGTATGTTGTCTCATTTGATCCTTTTTGAGATAATGTAGGCAGATAGTGGTATCTCCCAGATGAGAAAGATGAAATTATTTTTTTCAAGGTCACATGGCTGCAGGTAGCAGAGCAAGGTCGAAATCTTTGAGACTCCTGACTGCTCTCCATTATCAACTTGGAAATAACAAGGTTGGCTTCCATGTTCTGATCTTGTTCACCATTTTATCCATCCCCGACAGCTAGAACCATGCCTAGCTTAGTTATCATATGTTGGGGATCTACCCAAAAACTTCATCTGAATTAGAGTACTTATTTGGGCTAGATTTGCCATCTTGACGGCTTAGTGCCATAATTGAGCAAAAAGCCTGTATTCCCTTTTCAGTATAACTTGTGGCATTTTAAGGGTGGAAGACACTTTGGCAGTCTGTGCCCTTCATTTTACAGAATTGAGTGAAATCTGGACTGGTTAAAGGGATTTGCTTGATGTTCCCTTCTGTTCTTCCACATTTACTCTACCCCCTTTGAACCCCTAATCTCTTTTCTTTAATTTGGTTCCATAAATCTTTTTAGCTTTGTGTAGTATATGTAAGGGACACTGATAGTATCAGAGTACAGGGTTACATCTGACAGTCTGCCCTTGAGGAATTTGGGATTTATCAAACTTGTTTTCCCACTTTAAATCTTTTCCAGTCTCATTGTTTTTGTTGAGTGGCCAATATTCCCAGATACGGCTTTGTTAATGAGACTATAAAATTCTTGGTATATTTTCAGTATACTTCATGATGATGCCCAGTGTCTTGTTGAAAGTAGATCTTATATTTTCTCAGTGAAAATACATGATAGAACTTAACAGCCCTCTTGTAAATGAGACCAAAAAATTCTTTGCAGCAATATCAGTATCCAGTTGACCCATTACTGACTTTCAAGATCTGAAAGTGTCCCAGAGCAGACTATTGAACTGCTCTCCTTACTTACAGGGAATCAGATGTGTTTGATATAGGTTAACATTTTTTGAGACAAATGCTTTCAAATTGGAAATAGTGCTTGTATGCACAGAAAGCCTTTCATTTGCATAGCACTTCAAAATGTCATATGTGGCATCTTGTTTAATTATTTTCATAGGGAGAGGACGGTATCCAGTAGTTGTTTTCATACAGTGCTGGTCCTTACAGTTTAAAAATAGTTTAAAATAGTTTCATTATATGCTGTTCACATACAGGTTTCCCCTGCTATCCAAAAGTAGAACATTTTGTAAGCTGAAATGGCATAAAGCAAAGAAGCAATGACCATTAGCTTATAGGGAAATTTTTGGGAGCATTCCCAGACCTCAAAAATAACCTCTCTGGCTTTTCTAATACCTTAGGGCATATCTTGCTAACAAAATAAATCAAGATAAAGTACAGATGCTCACAGGCACAGTTCAAAACTATATGGTGGCTTGATGCTGAGTATAGTTCTTGGGGAATGAGCTTGGACGTGCCATTCGGTTAGAATTGTGTCTGCCTCTGTGATGGCTCACTGCAAAACAAATGCCGAACACTGTTTTCACTTTTTTCTTTTTTTTGTAAGAGCAAAGAGTCTCTCTGGATTTCTTTTGGTTAGGGGAAACAAGTAATAATGTAAGTCTTTCATAAAGGCAGGGTGGCATAATGCAGCCTTTTGAAAAGCAAGGTTTACCTACATTACTATTTTTAAATTCCATCCTCTAGCATATGTTTGTTATTCTGGGAGTAGGGTACCCCGATTCAGAAGGCGAAGACTGAAACTCTGAAAATTCAAATACAGATACAAGGAGAGTGTCAAAGTAAAACATAGTGTTTCTAAGTAATGTGCTTGTTAAAATATATATATTTTTAGGGGCACCTGGGTGGCTCAGTTAAGCACCTGACTCTTGGTTTCGGCTCAGGTCTTGATCTCAGGGTCATGAGAGCACTGCGTCTGCTTGAGATTCCCCCCGTCCCTCCCCCTGCTCGCTCACATGGGCACGCACACACTCTAAAATAAAAATAAAATCTTTGAAACATACATACTTTTAAACAGCTTTAAGGTCTAATTCACATACCATTTGTGTATGGCTTGACAATATACCCTACCTCTTTGTATTCGTCTCAAAATATCCTGGAATGTATTCACTTTTCATGAGGGTGGGGGAAAGAATTAACTTCAGAGTATTGTTTTTAAAAACCAAGTGCATATTTCTTGTCTGTCTTTCTTTTTTTTTAAGATTTTATTTATGTGACAGAGCACAAGCAGGGGAAGCAAGAGGGAGAGGGAGAAGCAGGCTCCCCGCTGAGCAGGGAGCCCATCATGGGGCCTGGGATCACCACCTGAGCCGAAGAAAGACGCTTAATCGACTGAGCCACCCAGGCACCCCCCAAGTGCATATTTCTAATTATGTGTATGTACACTTACAAGTACACACACCAAAGTCAATTTGAATTTTTATAGCTCTTCTCTTACAGAGAAGCTCCAAGTACTTTGTGTAGTGGTCAGCATGATGTGTATTGGGCGCTTGCTTTCTATTTTTTACGTAAATGACCAAATTGAGTGGAAAAAGGTAAGGGGAAGGCAACATGGCCTTTCCCTCCAGTTGTGTCAGTTTGAAGAAGTTGGGTCATGGAACTGAACTGGTGGGTCGAGGTGGTGGAGCATATGCTGACTTGGTTTTTATTCTCTACTGTAGTACAGTAAAAGTGAGGCCTGTCAACATCATGATATTGCATTGTATGAAATCTCATGGCTTGGCTCTAAAGAGCAGCGTAATTAGTCTAGTTCTAAGCACTCTGGTATAGGTAGACTCATTGCATTTGTACAGTATTGTTTCTTTAAGGAAACATCTGTTGATCATTAAATCCTTTTTAATTCTGGAGAATCTGGCAGGATTCACTTCCCAGAAAGAAACGCCTTGCCCCGTTAGAAGTCATTTCTTCCACCACCCCCCCCCATTTGTTTTCTTCGTATTTACCTATTCTGAGCATTTCATATAAACGAAATCATACAATATGTGGACTTTTGTTACTAGCTTCTTTCATTTAGCATTTAGGGGCTAGCATCCCCTTTTGTTTGTCCTTTTATTTATTGATATGAAACCACTTCACCAGTAGTTCTCAACCATGAGACAATTTTGTATCACTCACAGAGGAGTCATTTACAGTGTCTGAAGGCATTTTTGGTTGTCACAGCAGGGTGGAGGTTTTGGTACTGGCTGGAGATACTGTTAAACATCCTACAGTGCACAGGACAGCCCACCACAACAAAGAAATACCCAGCCTACAATGTCATTAGTGCAGAAGTTGAGAAACTAAATAAGGGTTAAGCTGGTATTAGTTGTAGGAAACCCTGTTTATTAAGGACACAGGTGTTTTGTCTCTTGTTTAAGGACTTTTGTAGACTTAAAAGTTTTTGAAAATGCTATCTTTTAAGCTCTTATTTAACCTATACGAGTATATAAAGAGCTTCACAAGTACCTCGTACTTGTTCAGTAAATTGCAGGAGTAATTAAGGCAGACAGAATTTAAAATTTCTGGGATGTGTGTGCGTTTTCCCTTAGTGCATATGGGTTTGGCCTTAAATAATTGAGACACTTATTGTTTGTTACATGAAGTGGTTGGTTTAACTTTTTAACCAATTCACATCAGATTTAAAGAAAATTAAGAGTTGGACCAGTTTGATCATGTGGCAAGGGATTGATAAACCTGGAACATTAAACGATGCTTTACTTAATCCAGAGAAGACTGTTGAAATCCTAAACATGTAATGGGCCTAATACTAGAGTAGCAAAGGGCGTAGAGGATTTAGATAACATCGTTTCTCAGTTATTCGAGTAAAATAGAGTGGAACAAACACTGGCACCCACTTTAGTTAACTGATTTTACTTTCTAAAGGGCCAGTTAGTTCTTTTAAATCTGTTTATATTTGTACTAAGTGATTGCTGCTGCTAGATTTAAAGAAACATAAGTTACAGATCTTGTGAAAGAATTTTAGCTTGTTTTTAAATGAAAACCAACCATCATCGGTGATTTCTCAGCCAAAGGTTTTTGGAGGGGAGGGCAACAGAATCAGGAGAAAGGGAGATACATGATTTAAAAAGACATTCTGAGCCAAACAGTGCTTTAGTTTTTGTTTTGTTTTAGTTATGATGTTTAGTTTATTATTTTGAAATTTCCAATAACATTAAAGGAGAGGAAGATTTGTTGGTCAAGAGTCAAGGGTTTTAAAAAAAAAAAAAAAGTCAAGGGATAAGAGTTGAGAAACCCTGATCTAGAAAGTTGGTATAAGCCAGAATCAGACCAAAGACCGGTTAATCCAGATTCTGCTCTTTTAGTATTAGATACATATATAGGACGAAGGGGCAGGGATGCTTTAATCAAATTATTTTTATGTTGAACTTGACCTCATTGTATGGACTGGCCATCAGTTCTATTTTTATTTCCCCAGTAACTAGACAGATCAATAATTGGGTATTAGCTGGTGATACTAGGTTAAGCCCCATGAGGGTAAGGATCTCTAGCTAGCATCATATTAGTCCCCAGCACTTTGAATTAGAGGATGTGGAAAAGATGAAAATAAACCTGTACACTGTGAGCATTCCAGCTCAGAGGCAGGCTTTATGTCTTACTCACATTTGCTTAGTAAATTTCTTCTCCTAGGCCTTTGCATATAAGCTAGGGGCAATATCGATGCTATAGGACCCAACCTCTGCATAACTGCTTTCTTTCAAAGCATAGAATAGATCCAAAATATAATCTGGTTAATCAGAAGTGATGCTTTTAGAGCAGGACTGGTAATAAGTCACTTGACAGAATCATGGAAACCACATTCAACACCGTCTTTTCTCCATATTATTGCAGCCATGTTCATCTGGTTAGCTCATTGAGACCATAATGCTTCAGGTTCTTAGTGTGTCCAGAAGGCTGTTCATAACACTCATAGCAAACAGGTCATCTTTATTTCCTGAAAGTTGGGTGTTTTGTTGTTTGTTTAAGGTGGGGGGGACAGAGGGAAAGAGAGAATACCTGCCGAGTGCAGAGCCCAGAGATGAGGGGGCTCAATCCCACCACCCTGAGATCACGACCTGAGCAGAAATCAGGAGTTGGCCACTTAACGGACTGAGCCACCCAGGCTCCTCCTGAAAGTTGGATTTTAAAAGAAAGGGTCCTGGTGAGAGAGCAGCCTTCAGTTAAACAAATGGTTGCATCATGTTACAAATTCTTAGTCTTCCTGAGTTGAAAATTAGATGAGAATTGGAACATGGAGGAGGAACTCACGGTTATAAAAGCCACAAAACTGGTCTTTGTTACAACAAAGCTCCTTGCTTTTTTCTTATCATGTAGGGGCTGCTCTCAGGAGCCAGTTTTAGAACTTGAGTTAGTCCTTTCAGCTCTTCTGCAGTAGCTGCTGACTGATGCGATCTCAGAAAAAGTCCTGAGAACTAGATAGTTAAAGAGCTGAGGTCAGTCCACTAAACAGAGCCATTTGGAAATTTGTAAAGATGTCATAACCGCAGAAAACATTAGAATGTGTTGGTTCTTAGGGGTTTTTTATATTTTTCCTTCAGTACCCTATCTCGTCTTCATATGTGGTGTTTAGGGAAGGAGAGAATTTTTTTTTTTCCTAGAGGGCAAGGAGAGCCAACTCTGTAGAGTCTTAGTGTGTGAACACATTCAAATGACAGTAACACAGTTTACTGTGGTTATGATACCCCCCCTTCTCCCATAGAACTAATAACAAGCTTCTTAGAGGTTGGGGCTCCTGTGGGAAGAGCCCTAGATTTGGTATCCAAAACCCTGGGTTTAATTCTAGCTCCGCTATCTAATATCTCTGTAACTGTAGGATAGTCATTTAACCTCTCTGAGACTTAAGTTTTCTTTTCTGTAAATTGATAGTAACGATTCCTACCTCATGTGGTTATTTTACAAGTATCAAACAATCCTCATAAATGCCAAAAAGAGTATGTTATTAGGGGTAGGAGTTTTGTTTTAGTTCTTTGTATACCAGGAGCAATGGATATAGTCACCTGTCTTAAAAACAAGTAGTTACTAAATTAAAAAATTCCCAATGATACATGATTGAATATAGTAGAAAAAAAGTTGACCCCACCCCAGTCTTAATGTTGAAACTCTTTCTAGACCTTTTCCCATACATAAGCAGTTTATTTTGTCAGTTTTCATTGGGTTTTCTTGCTGTGCCAGTATATTGTACTTTGTCCCTATTTACATCTGTGTAGTATACCATCGTATCCTTTGGTGGCCTTTTATGTTGCTTTCTTTAACAGTAGTGCCCTGTACAACTCTCTAATACCCAAGGAATGATAAATAATCTTTCTTTTGCCTTTTTAAAACAGCAAAAAAGAAGAATAAGAAGGGGAAAACTATCTCCCTAACAGACTTCCTGGCTGAGGATGGAGGGACTGGGGGAGGAAGCACCTATGTCCCCAAACCAGTCAGCTGGGCTGATGAAACAGATGACCTGGAAGGAGATGGTAATTTTTTTTCCCCATCATGCTTGGAGTTTTCATTCTCTTTGAGGCCAAACCCATTCCATAGTAATGGTTCACACTTGTAATCTGAAAGGAACTTACTCATTTTATAGAACCCTAAGTCTTATATTTGTGTATTTCATAGAATTTTAGGTTTAGGTTGTAAGAGTTTATGATTAGGGACTGAAGGGGTGAATCAGGAGAGCTTAGTACTAATTCTGTCTCTTTTGTTAACAGACTTTTCTCAAGGTATTAATTTAATCCTCATTTTCATTTCAAAAGTTGAGGACTAGACTACTAAAATTCTATGATGTCCTGATGTTACAATGTAATCTATAAGCTGTTTATATTCAGAATCAAGAGAACAATTTGTTCCAGGAGCTATTTTTATGAAGTCATGGAAAAACAAAACTGGTCTGAGGAATGGGACAGAATTGAGTTGTGTTGATTTTGTTTCATTTTTAAGAGGAGAATAAACCATGAAGAAAACACTTTGTCCACCCAAAAAGTTAGGAATATGAGAGTTGTCAACAATGTTTAAATAGATTTGGACTGAGGGTTCGAGTCTTGCCTCTACTAGGATTATCATCTACTCTTCTGCCATGTTTGTGATCTTAGGCAAGTTATTGAATCTTCTGAAATCTGAGTTTCCGTTTCCGTAGAATGGGAACAACCTCACAGCGTTATTAAAAAGATAAGATGGGATATAATGAATATAAAATGCCTGGCTCATCATAACATTCAATAAACAGTTGATACTTTCTTTTTCTTTGATGCATAAGGAATAAGAGTTACTATACTGTTAAAAGCCTGGGCCTTTAAAGGCCTTAAAATACTTAGAAACCAAGAGACAGTGAATACTGAGTCTTTTTGCAGTGCTAACCTGATTCTGACATTTCAGAAGCACTGTCTCTTTGTAAAGTGCCCTTATTTAAGTGCCTTTTTAATCTGTTTCTTTCCTGACATAACTTATTTAATCCTTGGCACTTAGCATGAGTCCACTTATTCTACAACAGCAGTAAGGGAAGTTTGCTGTAATTCCTTCTGTTCGCTTTCCTATCCTAGTTTCAACCACTTGGCACAGTAATGATGACGACGTGTACAGGGCACCTCCAATTGACCGTTCTATCCTGCCCACTGCTCCACGGGCTGCTCGGGAACCCAATATTGACCGGAGCCGTCTTCCGAAATCGCCACCCTATACTGCTTTTCTAGGGAACCTGCCCTATGATGTGACAGAAGAATCCATTAAGGAATTCTTTAGAGGATTAAATGTAAGTGTAAAGGTTTAAGGCAATTAACTCAATATGGAGAGTAGCATATTGGTTGTGACTGACTATCCCTGAATTTGTAAGCTGGGAAAGATTCTCAGACTGTGTCTAGACTTGGAAGAAATGGGTATATAAAAGGGCCTAAATGCCACTGATGAAGTGGCATTTAGGCCCTTTGAGAATGTTCTCGTCCCACACCAATCAGGTGGTCTTTATTTTTATTTACTTAGTTATTTTTTAAGATTTTACCTATTTATTTGTCAGAGCACACAAGCAGGGCGAGCGGCAGGCAGAGGGAGAAACAGTCTCCCCAGTGAGCAGGGAGCCCGACTCGGGACTCCTCACTGGACCCTCGGATCACAACCCAAGCTGAAGGCAGACTTAACCAACTGAGCCACCCAGGTGTCCCACCAATCCGATAGTCTTAATGCTGTATTGATGCAGAAAGAATCTCTCAAAAACCTATACCTCTTCTCATTAAGAATCTTAAAAGTGATATTCCCGGGAGCACCTGCCTGGCTCAGTCAATGGAGCATGCGACTCTTGATCTCGGGGTCATGAATTTGAGCCCTACATTGGGCATATAGATTACTCAAAAAAAAAAAAACAACACCCAGTTAGGTTGTAAGGCAGAAAGTTTCTCTGAACTCAGTCTGTTAATGACACTCAGGCTTATATCAAAATCACTTTTTAATTTTATATCTGAATACCTTTAACTGGAAGATGTATAATTTATATTAACAAGAGTGTGCTAAAATTTATTAAAGGTTCTGTGAGCCTGGTGCCACATATAGTGGAATTCAGTGTTTATAGGCATGCTTAAAAAGCTTAAGGGAGGGGCACCTGGGTGGCTCAGTCGTTAAGCAAGCCTGCTTCTCCCTCTGCCTGCTGCTCCCCCTACTTGTGCTTGCTGTCTGTCAAATAAATAAAACCTTTAAAAAAAAATAAAAATATTTAGGACGCTGGCTGGTTCAGTAGGGCATGCGACTCTTGATCTCAGGATTGTAAGTTCGATCCCCACATTGGGGGGTAGAGATTATTTAAAAAATAAAATCTTTTTCTTTTTCCTTTTTTTTCTTTTTTAAGATTTTATTTATTTATTTGACAGAGAGCGAGAGAGGGAACACAAGCAGGGGGAGTGGGAGAGGGAGAAGCAGGCTTCCCGCTGAGCAGGGAGCCCGATGTGGGTCTCAATCCCAGAACCCTGGGATCATGACCTGAGCCGAAGGCAGACGCTTAACGACTGAGCCACCCAGGCGCCCCCAAAAATAAAATCTTTAAAGAAAGAAAGAAAGATACTAGGACTTTTTTTTTTTTTTAAGATTTTATTTATTTATTTGAGAGAGAGAGAGAGCATGAGGGGGGGAGGGTCAGAGGGAGAAGCAGACTCCCCGCTGAGCAAGGAGCCCGACGCGGGACTCAATCCCGGGACTCCAGGATCATGACCTGAGCCGAAGGCAGTCGCTTAAACAACTGAGCCACCCAGGCGCCCAAAAGATACTAGGACTTAAAAAAATCAGAATGAGTCACAGTTTCCAGTTCTGTTGGGTTTTTCTTCAGAATCTTTGCTAATGTGAACACATTAAAAAGTACCTTTCCTTGGGGCGCCCAGCTGGCTCAGTCAGTAGAGTATGCGACTCTTGATCTCAGGGTGATGAGTTTGAGCACCACATTGGGGGTAGAGTTCACCTTTTTTTTTCCCCCCTCTCTTTAAAAAAGTGTGTTTCCTTTAAAGATCTGCTGTCTCCTTCACTCTTACTTTTGTTTTTTGACTTCCTTCCTAGATCCTGTTCTCTGCACTGGGCCACCAACTTCTATGGGTGGCTTTTCTGGTGTTGTTAAAATCTTTAGGAAAAAAAAAAGTCACATACTCTACGACTGAGCAAGCCAGGCACCCCACGATGTGATTATTTTTTGAAAGCCACCTATAAATCTCCTCTCTGTACAAATATGTAGTACAACTAGAAGGCTGACCTGTTTTTGATTTCACTTTCTTGGCCTCTTCTGTAGAGTGTTGAATAACCTCGGGCCCATTCAGGCTTTTCACTGTTAATGCTCTAGATTTGGTCTGGAACTACTTCTCCCTTTCATATTTTCTTCTTTTTCCTTCTATATTCAAGAGGTGAGTTAAACTAGAATTTAAAAGAGGCTATAAGAAAATCTATATCTCAGGAGCCAGAGTTAAAGTATCAAATCAGTGCTGCAGAAGAATATAACTTGAATACATACAAAATACTGAAGAAATGAAGTAAAAGGGTAAGAAAACATATGGAAGCCATCAAAAAGGTGGCCAGAAAATAGTTAAAAGTATATGGAAATGGTCCTAAAATTGGAAGTGAAGCGTATATACCCTGTTATAAATAATAAATACAGTTTAGTGCCAGGGAAAGTTTTTTATGAAACTTGAAAGGAAGGAATCCTGCAAACCTACAATTAGAGAACACAAGGTAATCTCAAAACCAGATTAATGTAAATTTATTCTGTACTTTAAGAGTACAAAATTCAGCAGTTCGCCATCTTAGAATTCAACAGAGGAGGTCAATGTGACGGGTTTACAATCCAGTGTTTGTATTGTTAATATATGAAAATAGTAACATTTCTCAGGTAGGGTCCCAGAAAGTACACTGCCTAGAAAACTGGCAAAAACTGAATTGAATTTCTGAAATAGAACTGGAAATATGTATTAAAACCAACTACAATATAGGCATAAAGAGATGACTAAACAGTTGATCTTTACTGAAAAACAACTAAAAACTAGACTTGTAGAATGAGGCAGAAGTCAGGGATGCAAGAACTACCCTGAACTCATGTGGGGTTTTTTTTGTTTTTTGGGGTTTTTTAAGGGTTAAATTCATATTGTTCAAACTGGAAAGGATTAATAGCATACAGTGAAGTCTCTCTTCTATCCCTTTGCACCAGTTTTCCTTCTGGAGACAACCAGGTTCTTGTGGTTTGTTTTTTTTGTTTGTTTTAAGTAGGCTCTAGGCCCAGCATGGAGCCCATTGCGGGGCTTGAACTCACGACCCTGAGATAAGAGTCAGATGCTTTACCAGCTGAGCCACCCAGACACCCCAGATCTTGTGTATTCTTCAGAGAAATTCACTGCATATGCACTGGTTGGGGAGGGGAGGCGGGGAAAGACAAATGAACAAGAACACTCAATAGGGAAATATGTTTCTTTACTCCTTCAGATCAGTGCAGTGCGTTTACCACGTGAACCCAGCAATCCAGAGAGGTTGAAAGGTTTTGGTTATGCTGAGTTTGAGGACCTGGATTCTTTGCTCAGTGCCCTGAGCCTCAACGAAGAGGTAAAGAAAAGAAAAGAAGGTGGGGACTTTGAGGGGTGGGAGCTAACCAGTCTTATGTTTATCAATATATTTTTGGTTGGGTCAGTAGCTATTTCAAAGATTGTCATATCTACAAAGAAAAGTACAATGTAACACTTAACATTCAACATCTAGCAAGTCGCATTTTGCTTGAGCAAATTCAACAGGCTCCAATAACTCAGGGAGGTACTTAGGTGGAAAATAATGGAAGAAAGCCACCACACCAAGACTTTAATAGAAGCTCTCCTTCATACTCTCATGGCTTTGCTTTTTAAAATAATCTGACCAGATCAAAGCAAATAGGAAAATGATGTTAATCAGTTTAATGTTAAAGGTATTATCTGGTTTTCAGGGAAGTTAGTGGTGTTTCTGATCATTTTAAGAGAGTTTGGAAATGTTTTTCAGTTGGAAGTCATTTGTAATACATGTTCGTAGGAATCTCTTACAGGAAAATGACAATAAACATTCAGTGCTTCTGCTTTTTAATGTTGCCCATAGATGTTCTGTCCAGACACACTAGAGATTTAGTAGGGAGAGGAGATTGAGCTGTTAATACATGAGGGGGATATGAGTATTAAATCTAACTATAATTAGTTATTTGAGTGATTTGTGCCATGCAGTGATCCTTAAGCTAGCCCAAGCAGGATATTTGAAGCATTTAGCTACCTGTTAGTAATGGAAGTTTCTAGTATAGGACCTGCTTTTGCTTTTTTTGTTGTTTTTTTTTTTAACCTCTAGTGACTAAAACAAATTCTATCTGGGAAGGAAAGGGGCTCTTTTTTTCTCTTTTTAATTCCAGAACCCCTTTACTGTTTCTTGAGAAGGCAATTTCCAGTGCCATTTGTGCCATAATTCTATGGTCCAAATCTGCCATTTGACACAACTGAAATCAATATACCTCTTAAAATACTCCTCCTTTCTCATAATTGAGTGCCACCATGATACTCTGAAGTAAATGTCAAAAATTAAATATATGAAAAGCTTAAAGTTGTTCCAAAGGTTTTTTCCTCAGATCATTTTTAAAAAGGTTTTATTAACCTGACTAATTTTTAACTTCTCAGTTTGGATAAAGGAAAGAATACCATACAGTTTTATTATCTGAAGTTTGCTGAATTATCTATTATGTAAAATGCTGTCATGGTCCAGACTTAGGAGTTACTTTGTTTCTAGAGATTTCATCATAGTGGTTTTTTGGGTTTTTTTGTTTTTTTAAGGATTTTATTTATTTGACAGAGAGAGACACAGCAAGAGAGGGAACACAAGCAAGGGGAGTGGGAGAGGGAGAAACAGGCTTCCTGCTGAGCAGGGAGCCCGATGCGGGACTCGATCCCAGGACCCTGGGATCATGACCTGAGCCCGAAGGCAGACGCTTAACAACTGGGCCACCCAGGCGCCCTCATCATAGTGGATTTTGATGTAATTCTGGATGTTTTCAACTAAAATTCACTGTTATCCTTCTTCAGCTGTAGATTCTACTGTGCAATGAGGAAAAATCAGCAGTAGAATTAATTGGGTTCAAAGTGTAAATAATAATGTGGGAAAGGGAAGTCAGAGGGTGTCCTGGAGGAACTGATTTATCCAAAGGTAATTTTGAGTGAAAGAACTTGAGATAATAGAGACAATGCTTGCTGTACCTTTGCTGTGCATAGTAGGGGCTCTGCAAATGTCTGAATGAATAATTGCTCTGGACCCAAATATGCCTTTTATTTAGCTAGTTGCCTGGGAATTATTTTCAATTTATTACACTTGATAAATTGCCTTTGATAGTTAAAAGGCTTATTTTGTGAAATAAAGCTTTATAAAACGGTAAGATAATTGATGTGCTGTTGATATAAACCCAACTTAAATTTGTCAATTCTAAGGGGTTATTTCAGTTTTCAAGTCTTTATAAAGGATTCTTTAGCCAACAAATTGGAGTGTTGGCTAGATTACAGTGTTTTTCCTTTATCTTCCTTCCCCCAGTGCTTCTGCTATGCCCAGACGTTCAAGGTCACTCATGGGATTTGTGCATAATGGGGCAAAAGGTTGGTTAATGTGGTCCTATGCTCTCAGTCTCTAGGTAACAGGAGAATTCGAGTGGACGTTGCTGATCAAGCACAGGATAAAGGTAAGAAAGCTGATAGAAATCTTCCTGTTTTGTTTTGGTCCTGGGATGACAAAGCAGAGGCACCCTTTCCCAGAAAATTTTAATAGAGATAGGGAGCAGTAGGCCTGCCTGAAACTTTAGCACTACTTCTCAACTAAGGATGATTTTGCCCCACTGGGGATGTTTGTCAATGTGTGGAGATATCTCGAGTTGTCAGAACTGGGGAGTGCTGCTGACCCCTACTGGGTAGAATCCTGTGGTTGATCATAGGATGTGCATAGGACAGCTCCCCACAGCAAAGAATTATCCACCCCAAAACATTAATAGTATTGAATTGGAGAAAACCTGATTGATCTAGATGAACATTAAATATGTAATAATAGATGAGGTGTCTCGAACAGCATAAGAAGGGCTTCATTCATTTATCCAGTATATCAGGGGAGGGGTCGGGGTGCGTGAGAAATAGCGGGCAGAAGTTTTTATGCACTAACTTGTGGTTTTTAAATTTATATATCTATAGACAGGGATGATCGTTCTTTTGGCCGAGATAGAAATCGGGATTCTGACAAAACAGATACAGACTGGAGGGCCCGTCCTGCCACAGACAGCTTCGATGACTACCCACCGAGGAGAGGTGATGATAGCTTTGGAGACAGTAAGTTCATTTTTATCAAGTGAGTTTCTACTGTGTTCTGGGGACTGTTTTGTAATAGGATGATCACATTAGCAGAAAGGGAGCAGTAGACACAAAAAAATTTTATAATATCCGAAAGAATTGATAGATAGAGAAGAATTTGATGAATTTATAATTAAAAAACAAAAAAAAACAAAAAACCTTGCCAGACAAAGAGTAGATGGGAGATTTCTCTCTCTCTTAAGAAACAGATGTTTAGGGGCACCTGGGTGGCTCAGTCAGTTAGCCATCAACTCTTGGTTTCAGCTCAGGTCATGATCTCAGGGTCATGAGATCCAGCCTTTTGCCAGGCTTTGCACTGGGCATGGAGCCTGTTTCAGATTGTCTCTCCCTCCCTTTGTGCCCCCCCCCCAAAATAATAAAATAGAAACACTTGTTGATAAAGAAAGCCAATGGATCTTATAAAGTAAGGAACTAACAAAAGTTCAGGAGGATTGCTGGGTTAAGAGCATTATACAAAAATTGGTTGCATTGCTAGCAGCCAACAGTCAAAATGGAATTTTTTTTAACATACCTTTTAAAATAATAGAAAATTCATTCACTTCAAAAATAAAAATGTCTACCATGTGCCAGATACGTTCTGAGCTTGGGATATAGCAGTGAACAAAACAGACAAAAATTGTATCCTCATTGAACTTTCTTTATACTGGGGGAGAGAAATAGTGCTCAAATAAATCAACTATAATTTAGAGAAAGGAGAAGGGAAATAGAGAATGTCATGGGGTAAGAGTTGGGGTGAATCAACAACTTTTACATACACCACCTAAATCCAACAAAAGATAGGCAAAACTTTTATGGGGAGAATCAGGCAGCTTTATTGAAATCTATGAAGAAAGAACACTAATTCAGAAAAGAAAAGACAAAATAGTGATTTTTCCATATAATAAAATACAACATACACATAATGATCTGGGTGAAATTCAAAATCTATAATGTTTAAGGGAAGAGGCAAAATTGTGTAAAAATTTGAAACTTATACAGTGTTTAATATGTAGTTACAAAAATGTATATATGGTGATCTAACCACCTTTATGAGCTTGGGTGACGGTAGAGGGAGCCCTTTAGCTCCATTTGTAAACCTACTACTTTTAAATTTAAAAACTGAAGTAAACATGGCAAACTGTTGGCGTCCCCTAAAACCTAATAAGTGCAGATACAGAAGTCTGTTATAATTGCTTCTTTTTTTTTTTTTTTAAAGATTTTTATTTATTTGACAGAGAGCGAGATAGCGAGAGAGGGAACACAAGCAAGGGGAGTGGGAGAGGGAGAAGCAGGCTTCCCGCCGAGCAGGGAGCCCGATGTGGGGTTCAATCCCAGAACCCTGGGATCATGACCTGAGCTGAAGGCAGACGCTTAACGACTGAGCCACCCAGGCGCCCCTGTTATAATTGCTTCTGTACTTTCCTGTGTGTTTGTAATATTTTGTAAGTAAAAAGAAATAGAACAACCTCAATTCATAAGCGTTTTAATTTTGTGAGACACCTTGTGAGTTCTCTACCAAATAAAATTGAGGAAGCAACAAGAGATTGAATTCCTGTTTTTGTAAAGAATCCTCCCTAACCTAATAAGATGTCAGAGAAGGGAGAAGGAATCAAGTTTATATCTGACTTTTCAATCAAGACTTTGTGACCAGGCAAAGCCTTGGGAAGAACTACCCGAGAGACCTACCTTTCATGTCAACATTTATACAAGAGGTTCCGTTGTTGACAGAAAGAAATGGCTCTTGAAAGAAAAAGCAGTCAGACCAAAGGTCCTGTTTTGAATCAAGGGACATGACTATTTTCTCACTTGACCTTGAACTTAGGGTGGTGCATGGGTGGCTCAGTTGGTTGGGAGTCTGCCTTCCGCTCAGGTCATGATCCCAGGGTTCTGGGATGGAGCCCCATGTGGGGCTCCCTGCTCAGCATGGAGCCTGCTTCTCCCTCTCCCCCCTCTGTCGCTCTCCCTGCTTGTGCTCTCTCACTCTCTCTGTCAAATAAAATCTTTAAAAAAAAAAAAAAAAAGGGAAAGACAGAAACCTTGAACAAGTTTGTAAGACTAGGTGATGTCCCCAAGGTCAGCTCTGCCAAGTCTTTAGAGACTCAGGCATTAGGCCCATAAAAGACTTAGGGGAGGGGGGGGTAGTTATACTAAATGTTACTGTAAAATCTCAGCAAACATTTCTGTGTTTCCTGGCCATCTGTTTTGGTGAGGGCAAGCTTATTATTATTTTATTATTATCTAAGTAAAATTAAGTTATATAGTTCATCTGTCTCTCTAGAAATCAGATATATATTTCAAAATAAATACAAGGCTGATATTTGGTTTTTGAATTCTGTTTTAGATTCTCTCCTGTGTATAATTGTTTTACCAACATTAACCTGTCCTTTAACTTACAAATTTAAGCTAACAGAATGTAGACAAAATGATACTGTTTCCAAAATAAAATCATTGTTTAAAAGGAAGTAGTCATAAAAATAAAGTCCTTGTTTGCTCTGCGTACATAAATTAATAAACTCAAAATGTTAAGTTTTTTTGTTTTAATTGCTTGATTCATGTTTGGAAATTGAGGTTTTTCGTGTAAAAATTGGGATTCCCAACTTTCTCAGAAAATTGGAAGATCTAGCAAGTTAGCCAAAGCTAAGTAGCCCCCACCTCCTTTTATAAATGCCTTACACCATGTCGCTTCCCACCTGAGCTCTACATTCTTTTATACAAATTTCTGGCATTTCAACACCTGTGATACTGATATTCACATGTGTGTAAAATACAGTTTTCAAGTGTCATGAACACATACAATCAATACATTCCTTGTTCCGTTTTTAATGATTGTTTTGTATGGATGCCCCCTGATTTATTTAATCCATAGCTTGTGCACTCAGCAGTTTTAGTATTATAAACAACATTGCAAGGGCGCCTGGGTGGCTCAGTCAGTTAAGCATCTGCCTTTGGCTTAGGTCATGATCTCATGGTCCTGGGATCAAGCCCCACATCGGGCTCCCTGCTCAGCAGGAAGTCTGCTTCTCCTTCTCCCGCTGCCCTCCACTCATTCTCTCTCTCTCTCTCTCTCTCTCTCAAATTTAAAACAAAATAAACAACATTGCAGTGAGCCTCCTTGTACATGTGTCTTTATAATATGTCCAGTTATTTTTTTTTTTTTTTAAGATTTTATTTATTTATTTGACAGAGAGAGACAGCGAGAGGGAACACAAGCAGGGGGAGTGGGAGAGGGAGAAGCAGGCTTCCCGCCGAGCAGGGAGCCCGATGCGGGGCTCGATCCCAGAACCCTGGGATCATGACCTGAGCCGAAGGCAGACGCTTAATGACTGAGCCACCCAGGCGCCCCTGTCCAGTTATTTTCTCAGGTTAAATTCCTAGAAATTGAATTGTTGTCCCGGAGAGTATATGTGATTTTAAAGTTCTCAGTGTATAGTTCTGAAACAACTTTCAGAGTGGTTGTGCTATTTTAGACTCAGCAGCAGCAAAGGAATTGACTTATTCCCCTAAACTCTGCCAACACCAGAGGTATCTTATTTTAATCTTTGCCATTTTGGTGGTGGGAAATGTCCTATTAATTATAGTTTCTGTTCCTTAAATGATAGCCAGTTAATCCACTGTCCTATGTCATACATATTTTTCTCATTTGGTTTGCCTCTCAGATTTGAGGTTTGTGTGTTTTCTCATGCTAAACTTTTTTTTTTTTTAAGATTTTATTTATTTGACAGAGACAGCGAGAGAGGGAACACAAGCAGGGGAGTGGGAGAGGGAGAAGCAGGCTCCCCGTGGAGCAGGGAGCCCAGTGTGGGGCTTGATCCCAGGACCCTGAGATCATGACCTGAGCCAAAGGCAGCCGCTTAACTGACTGAGCCATCCAGGCACCCCCCATGCTAAAGTTTTTAAGTAGTCTTTGGTTCTTTAGAACCAATCAAAAATACAGATTCCAATTATATTCTAGTGTATTTAAGTCTTTAATGCTGGAAATTCATTATGAGATATATAGAGATTTTTCTCTTTTAACTGCTAAATTACTAGCTTGGCAACATTTATTTAATCATCAGAGAAAATATTTTGAATCAAACTAGTACCAAGGAAACTTAATTCAGTTCACATTTTTCCACTTTGGATTTAAAGTGTTTTGGGTTTGTTGTTTGGTTTGGGGGGTTTTTTTGTTTGTTTTTTTATTTATGTATCCAGAGAGAGCACAAGCAGGGGAAGCGGCAGGCAGAGGGGGAAGCAAGCTCCCCGCTGAGCAAGAAGCCTGATGCTGGACTCCATCCCAGGAGCCTGGGATTATGAACTGAGCCGAAAACAGACGCTTAACCTACTGAGCCACCCAGGCACTCCATAAAGTGATTTACTTTTATAAAAACATAGTAGTTCCGCAGGGAGTCTGCTTCTCCCTCTGACCCTCCCCCCTCTCATGTGCTCTGTCTCATTCTCTCTCTCTCAAATAAATAAATTTTTAAAAAAAATAAATAAATAAAATAAAAACATAGCAGTGACTGTAAACTCATGAAACCAAATTGACTTCATGAGCTATCAAGCTTCTTTCTATTAATGGTGTCAAAGAAAAGGGAATGACATTACTTGGTCTGTTTTCTCTCTAGAGTATCGAGATCGTTATGATTCAGACCGATACCGTGATGGGTATCGGGACGGGTATCGTGATGGCCCACGCCGAGATATGGATCGATACGGGGGCCGGGATCGCTATGATGACCGAGGCAGCAGGGACTACGACAGAGGTTATTACAAAACACAACTAAGTGAAATTGCTTTCTTTCAAGAACCCCTTTCTTGCCTTTCTTCCCTCCGATGTGATGATCATAATTTGGGCTATGTTCACAGGCTACGATTCCAGGATAGGCAGTGGCAGAAGAGCATTTGGCAGTGGGTACCGTAGGGATGATGACTACAGAGGAGGTGGGGACCGCTATGAAGACAGATACGACAGACGAGACGATCGGTCATGGAGCTCCAGAGATGATTACTCTCGGGATGACTATAGGCGTGATGATAGAGGTAATCATTTTCTTTTGCTTACTAATAAAGCAGCCCACTGGAGAAACCGATTAGAAAATTATCAGTTATGTAAGTGGGTTTTGAAACAGGATAGAATATACGTTGTAAAAGGTGTGGCAGAGCACAGAGGAAAGAGCATGGGACGAGGGTGACCTAATGGAAATAGAGCAAAGTCTAGTTCTAAGTTGCCTTAGCATAGAGATTTTTCAGTTAAAATTGGTTGAATATACAAACGAGAAAAGGAAAACATTTGCCACGCAGTCTCCTAGCCAGTGATTGGCACGGTGGGGTTAAATATCAAGTGTTGGTGATTTCAGTGCCATTACACCACAGTCATTGATACGTTAACTAATGAAATGTCAGCATACCTCTTCTAAAATTAGGCCCCTCATGTCATAACATTTATATAAAACCTATTGTGTTGCAAATCTCTCCTCAAAAAGTGTCAATAAATGGCCAATATTTGTGTTCTGACTTCATTAATATCATCCAAAAAGTAAGGTATCTGACCCAGAGTTTTTCTCTTCAATTATATATATATATATTTTAAAGATTTTATTTATTTATTTGACAGACAGCAAGAGGAGAGGGAACACAAGTAGGGGGAGTGGGAGAGGGAGAAGCGGGCTTCCCGCTGAGCGGGGAGCATGATGCGGGGCTCGATCCCGGTACCCCGGGATCATGACCTGAGCGGAAGGCAGATGCTTAACAACTGAGCCACCCAGGCGCCCCTCTCTTCAATTATTTTTAGCAGCTTGCCTAGCCTTTTATTTTTTTTTTAAAGAGTTTTATTTATCAGAGAGAGAATGAGAGAGAGAACACGAGAGGAGAGAAGGTCAGAGGCAGAAGCAGACTCCCTGCTGAGCAGGGAGCCCAATGCGGGACTCGATCCTGGGACTCCAGGATCATGACCTGAGCCGAAGGCAGTCGCTTAACCAACTGAGCCACCCAGGCGCCCTTGCCTAGCCTTTTAACATCCCGATGTTAGCCCTGTGTGCCAAGTGCTTTTTTTTTTTTTTTAACTTTCATTGCTGTTAGCAGTTTCCTCTATTCCCATGCATGCAACCTAGAAATACTAACACTTATTGAGCATTTACTCTGTACCAGCAGTGAGTTGAGCGCTCTCGTGGATATTATACAGTCTTCTTTTTTTTTTTTTTAAGATTTTATTTATTGTGGGGGGACAGAGGGAAAAGCAGGCTCCCCACTGAGCAGGGAGCCCAATTTGGGGCTCCATCCCAGCACCCTGGGATCATGACCTGAGCCAAAGGCAGACACTTAACCGACTGAGCCACCCAGGCGCCCCACAGGTATTATACAGTCTTAAGAATTCTATCTGGTGGGGCACCTGGGTGGCTCAGTCTTTATGCGTCTGCCTTTCGCTCAGGTCATGATCCCGGGGTCCTGGGATCGAGCCCCGCATCAGGCTCCCTGCTCAGCGGGAAGCCTGCTTCTCCCTCTCCCACTCGCCCTGCTTGTGTTCCCTCTCTTGCTGTCTCTCTCTGTCAAATAAATAAATAAAATCTTTAAAAGGAAGAAAAAAAAGAATTCTATCTGGTATAGATAATGTTTTTCATTTCCACTTTACTAGAGAGTATAGTGGAGGCTTAGGTGTGGGCTTTGGGTCTCCTTGATTCATGACCTTTTCCTCTCTCAAGCTATTCTTCCCTCCCTCAGTAACTGCATACCTCATCTTTTTTTCCAGTGACCTTGCCCTGTGGTCCCTCTAAGATCTGCCCCCTTATCTCCAGAGTCACTGCCACTGGTTTTGTTCAGACTTCATTGCTTATACCCACATTACTAATAAATTTCCCTGCCTCATTCTATCTTCACACTAGCCCAAATTGTCTTTCTGGAACAAGAGCTAATTAGATTATTCTGCCTACAGTTTACCTCGTTAGTGCTATGTACCATTAGGTTCTTGCTCAGTTTTCTAGACTTTCAGGAGTTCCACTTTGAAGCCTTCACAGGCTTCCCCAAACACAGTCCCAGTCTAAGAACTTCCATGTGTATAAATCTGTTTTGTAGAGCTTAGCATACTGTGTTCTTTTTTTATTCTGATCTTCCCATTGAATTGGGCTCCTTGCAGGCAGGAACTAAAAACTAGCCAACTGTCATATTCCTGGCCTTAGCACAGTATTTGAAATATAGGTGCTCATCATTTGTTGAGTAGCTAAAATAAATGGAAATTATCAAAGAAAGAAGAAAAGGACATTATGTACTGTAGTGGGAGGAACGTAGAGTTGGTTTGTTAATACAGATGTCATCCTTTGGTCCTCCAAGTATTAGGTGTATGGCTTAAATGAGTTACTCTTTCTGACCCCCAGTTTTACCCTATAAAAGGGAAGTTAATGGGCCCTTCATAAAATTATACATATTAAAACTGAACCTCGGGAGGGCGGGGGCCGTTCCTGGCTGGCTCAGTTGATGGACCATGAGACTTGATCTCAGGGTTGTGGGTTCGAGCCCCTCATTGGATATAGAGATGACTTAAAAATAAAATTTTTTTTTTTTTTAAAAACTGTATCTCGGAAGTTTATATAAATTGCCAGCTTAAAATCCTTATAGAAAATTTAAATCTTGGGGCGCCTGGGTGGTTCAGTCGTAAACCATGTGCCTTCGGCTCAGGTCATGATCCCGGGTCTTGGGATCGAGCCCCTTGTCAGGCTCCCTGCTCGGTGGGGAGCCTGCTTCTCCTCCTCCCTTTATTACTCCCCTTGCTCGTGCTGTCTCTCTCTCTCTCTCTCTCTCTCTCTCTGGTCTCTGTGTCTCTCTCTGTCAAGTCAATAAATAAAATCTTTAAAATACATATATTTTTTAAAAAGGAAAGTTTAAATTTTGCTGAATTATCCCCTCTTTGCAGATACATACGTACATATGTTCTGTACTAAAAGTATAAAGACCTCCTTGGGAATGATAAGCCCCAAATTTGAGCGTAGTGGTTATGAGAGGACAGAACACAGCTAGGCATGTCATCAGGGGAAAGATACTCAGGAGCCTTTAGTGTGGATTTTAGAGTGTTTTATTACTTAAGCCAGGTGGGTGGTTGGGACCACATAGGTTTTATCTTGTTTATCTTTTGAATGTTGGAAATATTTAGGATAAACACTAATTTTGAGAAATATAATTCCCTTGAAACACTAAGGTTTATCTTGAAATATTCTGACAGCTTCGATCCAAGAAGGAATCACATTCCTTTAGTATTTACATCATCTGTTCAGTGCTGTATGCTTTGCTCCATGAATCACTATCAGATTTAGATTCTACACAGAGACAAGAGTATAGGAACTAGAGTCTTTCCCATCATTATTGTCACAAGCTCTTCTTAGCCTCCTGAAGTAGTCCATCTTTTAGACCACACTTTTTACCAAGATACTTTCATCCAGTAGTTTATCGTAATTGGACATTTCTTGCCGGTAATAGTAGTTGTGATGATTCACCATGTAAGTGTTTACCTTTCTCAGTCTTCCCTTCAGTGTGGCACTGCCTCATGGATATGGTAGTGGAAAGATTGATTGTCCTTGGTTATTTAAGCCATCTTCTAATGTTCTCCCTTCTCAGCTGGATTGGCCAGGTCACTACTCTGAATCCCACATGGCATTTTCTTAGCGCTCTGTCTGGGCATCTGGCTTTCAGCCATCAGCTTCTGGTGATTTTGAAAAACTGTTACTTAGAGTTTTATTTAACTTAGGTCCCCCGCAAAGACCCAAACTGAATCTAAAGCCTCGGAGTACTCCTAAGGAAGATGATTCCTCTGCTAGCACCTCCCAGTCCAGTCGAGCGGCCTCTATCTTTGGAGGGGCAAAGCCTGTTGACACAGCTGCTAGAGAGCGAGAAGTAGAAGAGCGGCTGCAGAAGGAGCAGGAGAAGCTGCAGCGCCAGCTGGATGAGCCAAAACTAGAACGCCGGCCCCGGGAGAGGTGAGGTTCTTTTGGATGGTAGGTTTCCCGTCTGGTAGTGCAGTGCCCCCTGTTGGGCGGGGGCGGTACAGCCCCGGGGCACCCTTGGGAAACTCCTGTAGAGGTTACTAGTTGTCACTTACCAGCATTTACTGTACACGGCCTAGGGCCACTAGGGGTGCTGTAATCTATGGGATAGTCCCACCTGATGAAGAATTAGTTGCCTGACCCTTAACGATTTTTAAAAGAGCTTAACCAGCCTTAACCTCTGACAAATATAAATTGGTAGTGATTTAATACAGGAGTGGGCAAAATACAGCCTGTTCCTTTTTTTACGAATAACGTTTATCTGACCCATTAAGAAAAAATTGGCCAAACCTGGCTTTAGTATATGGAGTAAAACCCCACCATGGTGAGCTGAGTGGGTGTGCCTCTTTCCAAGTTACTGGGGATAGAGTAGAGAGAAAATATTTTCACTTATATTAAACATCGACTGTAAATTATTTTCCATCTATTTTTACTTGCGTGTATGTTAAAGGAGTCATTACTGAAGCGTTTATTATTAAAAGGTGGAATTGGATCTAATACGGTAGAAACCTCCTGGAATAACATTCTGAAAAATCGTCTAGTTTTTAGTGGCTTGTAGAGTTGCGTTACCAGTAAGGAAGGGCTGTAGGTTATATAGGAGACTGTTCTTGGTGCTTGAAGTGTTGAGAGCCAAAGTGTCTTAATGTCTGCAACTTTCAAGTGGTTTGAGAGAGACAAGATGTGCACACCCACCCACAAATAACAGTGAGTGTGATAGAATATTAATAAGTGATAGTTTTTGAGGGGTCAGCATGGGTCCAAAGTGGCCTTCATTGAGCTGGACGTAAGTTTTCTTTTTTTTTTTTAATCTCTTTGTATAGACACCCCAGCTGGCGAAGTGAAGAGACTCAGGAACGGGAACGGTCCAGGACAGGAAGTGAGTCATCACAGACTGGAACCTCAGCCACATCTGGCAGAAGTAAGTCAGACCAGGGTGGGTATCGTGTTATTGCCCCTTTCCCTAAACTAGCCATAACCAAATTATGCAGAGACTTCGGGGTGTTAAATTGAGTCATGGAAGCTTTATTTGGATTAGCATAGATTGATCAGAATGTTACATCTCCTGGTCTGAAAAATCTGACAAATGGGCACCAGAAGAGACTTAGGTGATCTGTTTAATAATCTTCCACTAATGAGTATACTTGATGGTTAGGTTTCTCCCTTCCTTTTATGTCTTGACATTCCAGAGTTTTCCTTTGTTTAGAGCAGTCACAGTCACACAGCTCTCTTCGCCAGCCTTTTTGGATGTCATGTATGACCAGAGCAATGTCTCAAGCGATGATCTTCTGCTCTTGATCCTTTCTTCCTTCCTTGAATTTATCAATTGGTCACAAGCATGTTTAGTGTTTTGGAAACTGAGTGATTAAATCATAACACCTCCCTTACTGCGAACCAGTGTTTTTTAAATTTTTTCCTCCCAAATTGATTTGTACTTGAGCATTTCAAAGCATAGCTCTGGGCTGAAATGATTGTTGTAGAAGTTTTCTGGAAATTACTCATACTAGAGTAGCCTTTTAGTAACAGGATGGTAATGCCTCTGTTTGTAGCCAGGTGGGAGTATGATGGTTGGTTGATTATATATCTCCTGAGGAGGCTGCACTGAAAACATACAATCTGACAAAATAACTTTTAGTTTTGAGGAGACGTTTGTTGCCCTTAAAAATAAAATGTATGTTCTGTTTTTTGTAAATGTATATCACAGTGTGTGTGTTTTGAGCCTCCAAATTGAAGTTTGATCAGTGGTACCTGGGGTTTAAGGTTCATCAAAGGTCCTCTTCGCACACAGTACATATTGTCCCAAGTATAGACATTTTAACACTGTACTGAAAATGTAGTAAGGCTGTGATCCTAAAATAAAGAGCACTCGTTCCTAGGAAAGGTCGGGTGGCTATCCTTGGAGAGCCATTATTTTTCTTGAATCAATAAAAAATGTCACTTTTCTCAGAGTGATATTTGGTAACCACTGGTTTAGGGATAGTTTCATCTATTGGGAGCCAGATAGAGGTCTGTATTTAGGAATAATGATGAAAAGAGGTCAACTTGGGTGGACCATTTTCTATTCTCTTGAGATCCTGAATAGATGGTTGTATAATAGCTTTTTCTGATAATGTAACTTTCCTACTCTGACTTCACAGATGCACGAAGGAGAGAGAGTGAAAAGTCTCTAGAAAACGAAGCACCCAATAAGGAGGAAGACTGTCACTCTCCAACTTCTAAGCCTCCCAAATCTGAGCAGCCTCTGAAGGTAATGCCAGCCCCTCCACCAAAGGAGAATGCTTGGGTGAAGCGAAGTTCTAACCCTCCTGCTCGATCTCAGAGCTCAGACACAGAGCAGCAGTCCCCTACAAGGTGAGTCACCTTGGAAGCAGAACAGTTCCTTAGCTGTAGACTCTTAAACATTGTGATGTCATGATGGAGAGTGCCCTAGATGTTGGCCTTACATAGCATATTTTAAGTTATGCTATCTTTGCTCTCAGTTCAAATTCAGTGGTGTGCTGGAAGTGGCTCATTTAAGCCAGTTAGTTTTCTAGAGTTTTGATAACTGGTTGGCATCACTTTAGCTACTCAAAATCTGCAAATTGGTAATCAGAACCTGCTGCTGCCACATTTGGCAGTATGGCTTTGGGGGTCCATTTACTTTCCTAAGTCTTAGGATCCTCATTTGTAAAATAGAGAATAATATTCACCTTGCATGATCATGATGATCCTACAGGACATGGTACTTGGTGAGTGTTCAGATAATTGCTTTCATTGTTGTCTTTCCTATATTTTAATGTTCTACATGTTAAGTATGTATTTTTGGTTCTCTGTAAAGTTTACTATTTGGAGAACGATTATACGTTTCTCATCTGTTCCTTCCCTAAGACTGATGAATATAATTACATGTTTTCCTTCTAGTGGTGGGGGGAAAGTAGTTCCAGCTCAGCCACCTGAGGAAGGACCACCGAGGAGAGGTAAGACCAACAGGAAGTCAGTATTTCATATAGCTAGAGGCCTCAGTAAAAAACCTGTAGAGGACTCATGAAATACAGAACTCCAGTGTAATTTGCACCTGTTTTTGTGTTAAGGATTCTTAGATTACCTGCCTTTTCTTGCCAGTAGAGGGCAGGAGTAGTCTCTTTGGAGAAAGCGTGGAGCCCTGCCCTTTCCTGGTAGAACATTTCTTTAAAAGGGGAAAAAAAGAATAGGAAGGAAATTAACATGCTCAGTCCAGATTAGAAATGTCACCATCTGTAAGGCCAAGGTCACTACACGGCGTCACAGTCCTTCATTTCTAGTTTGCTCTTCATGATGACATAACCCTACCGTGGAACTTTTTAGTGGGTCTTATTTGGGGGCAGGGGGAACGTGGGAAGAAGGGTTGGGAAAGGAAGTCTGGGTTAGGGTGAGGCTGAATTGCCCTCGGTACCCAGGGGCACACTTTTCTGCAGCCGAAGGGAAACAACTTGGGGGAAGGAGAGTGGTTACTCTACCTGCTTTTCATTTATTTTTGCATCTCCACTCAAGCAGATGAAAACAAAGTAGATGGGGTGAGTGTCCCAAAAGGCCAAAGTGGGAACTCCGGCCGTGGTCCAGGAGATGGAGGGAACAAAGACCACTGGAAAGAGTCCGATAGGTATGTATATGCTCGTTCGTCATTTGTAACCTTTCATCTGATGCTAGGTATATGCATCTTTGTAGTTAAGAAGTTCTCAGTCCTCCAAGCCTTGCCAGATCTCCTACTGTAAACAAAGGAAAGTGAACCAATGTGGACAGTTTCAGTTCTTCTGAGAATCTAGAAAAAAAAAGTCCAGGTAGCAAGGACTGCTGACTGGAGGTACCTATGCGGTGCTTCCCATTGCTTGTGGGGGTTGGGACAGTCCTCTCAAAGATGGGGTTTACACTTACACCTCTGCAGGAAAGATGGCAAAAAGGATCAAGACTCCCGATCTGCACCTGAGCCAAAGAAACCTGAAGAAAATCCAGCTTCCGTAAGTGTTGGGTGCTTGCTCATGTTTGCCCTTGAACTCCTTTACGTTTGGGGCTACAAGCAGAGTGGTGGGGAGTTAGGCGCTGCTGCTTGTTCAAGATAGCAAACACAGCGGAGTGTCCCCGTTGGCTCCCTTTCACACCTCTCATCCCCTCTCCAAGATGAAAGATGGTGGAGGAACTTCAGTAAGAGCACATGGGCCTCTGAGCCACTCACCCCAGCTACTCTCCAGTGGAAAATGCTGAGCGAGTGAGTGGGTGTGGCCTGGGCTGTCCCCTCCATTTTGCCCAAGTGGCCTTATCCTGTTTCTTGGGTTTTGATGTGAGAATTCAAGGCCTTGGTGATTGTCTCACTCTTGTCTATTCCAGAAGTTCAGTTCTGCAAGCAAGTATGCTGCTCTCTCTGTTGATGGCGAAGATGAGAACGAGGGAGATTACACCGAATAGACCTCTGCATCCTGTGCTTTTTCCTAGTCTCTCCACCCTGAAACATTCGAGAGCAAATCAAACCTCTATCCAGACAAGACAATAAAACTCACCATCTCCTGGAGACCTTTCTTAACTTTTTTTTAAAAAAACAAAAAACAAAAAACAAAATGAAATGAAATCCTTTTGCATGCTGCTGCAGCCTTTAAAGTATTGAACTAACTGGAGAATCGCCATTGTAGCCAGAGAGAAAGAGACGTACAGCTTTTCATGGAAAAGTTGTGCATTTTTACGACACATGCAGTTGCCTGTGTGATTAGTGCCTGGGGGCCTCCATTTAGCAAATGGCAGTGACAGTGATACAGTGTCTGGAATCTGGCTGGGCAGTAGGGCAGGCTTAAGGAGGAGTGAGATTTCTACCTTTGAAGTCTTATTATCCTATTGTGGCATATATGAATTCTCAAACATTATCTGAATAAATTTTCCATCCTTGGAAAGATAGGTTTAGTCTCCTCTGAAGTTGTTTTAGTCTCCAGGAGGCTGCCTGCCCCTCCTCTTATTTAATTCTGAGTTACTGGGGCCAGCCTGGGGGAATTCCTTCATTTTTACCCCCCAGGGGGGTAGTTGGGAGTGAGTCTGTGGGCCACTAAAGAACAGGACTGCTTGGTGACCAAAATAAGCGGGGAAATCGTGGTTTGAAAAGAGGCTGTGGGGAAGGGACGAATTATTTTGTACCGGTGATGGGGGAAATGGCATGACCTCCAGTGAATACTGGAGCAGGAAGCACTTAGGAGTCATGGGAATTCCCAAGTCTTTTCTATGTCCTGGTTTTGCCCTTTCTTAAACGCTGTCCTTTCTGAAAGTTCACATATATCCACATTCTTTTGAAATCTTGAAGCTTTAAAAATGTAGACTCTCGTCCTGGTCCTCCATTCCTCGTGCTATTCTTTGCTGTTGCCTCCCCCAAAGCAGCTTCTACTTAAACCACATACCTGATCTTGGCTTTCTCTGTCCGCCCCAGGGAGCAGAAGCAAATGAGGAATCACTGCTTTTCTCCAGCAAATCTTGGCTTTTTCGTGTCTTTGGACTCTCACTCCTTCCCTCCATCCCTGCTTCTACTTCTTTGACCCCTTTTACACCTCGGAAAACTCTAGAATTAATGGTCTTAGGTAGTGAGTGAGGGTGGATAAACGGACACATTGTGAGCTGTTCTTAACCTTGATGGGGGCTTTTTGGTTTTGTTCTTAAAAGTTTCCTTCTCTCCACTGAAATCCCACACCACTGTTTGGATTTATAATATGGCCTCGACCAATGTGTGGGTTTTTTTGGAGGGGGGGGTTGGTGTTTTGTTTTGTTTTTTTTAGCTTCCCTAGAGAGAACAAATGATAAAGGAGAGAACTGTTTAACAAGGTCCTGGTTTCTGTTGCAACACAATAGCTTAACTTGCCTGCTTTTATGTGCACCTTTGTACTGTCAGCCCAGGAGACAGTGTCCCTATGGGTGATACTGGGACGGGCAGAGAAATGACACCTTGGTCTCTTGTTCGCAAGCCCTTCTCCCATCAGTCCTAGGTTAGAACCTGCCCAGCCAGCAGGTGTGTCTTGTCAGTGGAGTGCTGGCAGCAGTGAGCTAATGAATCGTTTACCCCGTGGACAGAAAAGACTTAGTGAGGTAACTTTAAATAATTGGCTTGGATTGGCCAGTAGCCAGGAAGTGGCTTTTAGAGAAATACCCGAGGCTGAAAGGGATTGCTTTTTTTTTTTTTTAAATACCATTGAAAAGGTAGGTTTTGCCCTCTTTGGGTCTACTCCTTCCAAATGGTTGTATCCAAAACTTCTTCCCCACTTCCCCTCCTGCCCCCATTACCACAGAAATGGGGGTTTTGTCCCACTCCTTAATATGTAAAATTTGTACAAAATATCTTCTATGAAAATGATTTGTAATCTGTAGACTTAATACCTGGGAGATGTCTTGAGATGTAAAATCCCATCCTTTGGGTTGTGGGGTTTTTTTTGTTTTCTCCAAATAAATCTGATCTTTAAAGTTCACCTTAATGCTGAAATTCTTGTGATCCTATCCCTATGCCTTTCTGTTGGCTCCCCACCCCCATCTCTGTAGTACTCTCGGCCTTAGATTCTGTCCTGTGCAAGTACAGAGGGTGGGGTTACCAGGGGAAGCTGTTTGTTGAGGTCCACGACTGGGAATTTGCATCCACTCCCCTCCAGCATTTTTGCCTGGTGTTAACCTTTAATATTTGAACTAATTTGCTGTGCGTTTCCTTCTTCATGGCCTTGATGCGGTCCTTCCGTCCTCTGCCCTTCGGTCTGGAGAGGTGCCACCTGCTTTCCGGCGCTACACGGCACAGGGGAGCAGTTCCCTGGACAAGCTGGGCTACATTACAACTAAGACCCCTTTCCTCTTAATTTTTTTTTTAATCTGAGGTTAATTGCTAATAGTTCACAGCAAGTTGGCCTGGTTTTTTGTTTTTTTTTAAGAAGGGGAGAGAGAAGTGGGGGAAGGGGCAGAGGGGGAGGAGAAAATCTTAAGCAGACTCTGCCCAGCGTGGAGCCCGATTCGGGGCTCAATCTCCCAACCCTGAGATCCTGACCTGAGCCAAAATCAAGAGTCAGATGCTCAATCCACTGAGCCACCCAGGTGCCCCCTTTCCCCTTCTCTCTCCATTACAGCTCCAACTCGGTGGGAATTTTCCAAATGGCTAGAGATAGGCTGTTTGTTGCTGCAAGGCAGGAAAGAGGACAGTGGCTGAGAATCCTTAAGGTCACAAGGGGGTGGAGCAAAGAACCCCGGAAACCTCAGCAATTTGGAGGAAGATGGGGGGGATGTGCAGACAGACAGGAGCCCAGTTACACACGTGGCTTTCACAGTAGCTGCTCTTGGGGTTCTTGGCGGTGCACTGATCTCTTCAAACGTGGAGGGATAAGAGGCCCAGGGCGCTGTGCTAACTGCAAGCCTTCCACGTGGATTTAGGTGAGAGCGAAACACCCAGGCTGCATGGGGAACCCACCTCCACCGCTGGCATCGGTCTGCCCCTTTCTCCAAGCCTTCATTTCGAGCTACTCCCCAGAGGACCAGGTGAATGATGGAAAGAATAAAAGTGGGAAAATCTAACTTACAGCTTCACGTTGGTTGGGCACAGGAAGGGTAGAGAAGGAGCTCCCTGTACTGTGTCCCAAGAGGGCACTCGAAATCCAAGGAAAAGGTAGGTGCTGGCATGGCCCCATCCTCAGAAGGATGGGTGGACCCTCTCAGAATCATAGCTGCAGAAATGGATCCCAGGATTGGTGCACCCTGTCATCCTGCAATGAATCTTGAGTGACCAGAAGGATTCAGCTATGGCATTCTATTTTACAAGGGTCACTTCCAAGCTGCTTGGATCCCCTGTAAGTCCACAGCATAGATTCTAAACAGGATCGAGCTCTAGGCTCCGGTCCCAAGGCAGGGAGGTCCCAGTCAGTGCCGAAGGCTTCAACTCAAGCACTAAGCAAGCTCACAGCATCTGGTTTCTCAGGAAGTGGGAGAGCTACACATCTGCTCCTGGGAAGCATTAATTCTCAAATAAAACCTTGTTTCTTGGCAACCGTCATAGCCCCCACCAGGGCCACAAGTGAAGGGGAGACTCGACTTCCCTCGCCCTCCCGCCTCACCAGAAAGGAGTTTGGAAGAGGCGAACTGTGCAGCTCCACGCCCAGCAGCAGCAACCTCCTGGTTGGACAATACACTCTCTGTTCTCCGCCAGCCGATCTGCCTCTGGACTGAGCTCTGCCCCTTCCCCGGCTCTTCCTGGTTCCCAGCACCCAAACCCTCCACCGGAGTCCCCCTGGCCCAGTGCTCTTCCAGCCAGGACAGTCCAGGCCCCTCAGAGCCCTCCAATAGTCTCCCCACCCCAAGGATCTGAGCACACTCGGTCCCAGGCATGGGATCACCCCAGACCTTGGAAGAGGGGGTTCAGCCTTCAGTCCCCAGATGGGCTCCCCTCTGCATAGTCAAGGTAAGAAAACCTGCATGGAGGGAGCAGTCAAAGGGTGTTCCTGAAATTCTGTTCCACCTTTACTAACATCCTGTCTTTCTGCTCCCTTTCCCCTCCCTTCTGAAGCTCCCACCGCTCTGAAGTGGTAGTCAGGATGTCTGGATGGCTCCATATGCCATCCATTTTAATTTCATCCCTCCAAGCCACCTCCTATATATAATTTTTCACTCTCAACCTTCCTCATCACCTTCCCTCCAGCAGCCCCCTAACCACCTGGTCCCCAGGTCCCTCAAGTCTGAGCTGGAAGTTCAGCTACCCATCTTATGACTCCCAATTCCTTGGGACCTCAAAAGTTCCTCTCGGGGGCAACACCACCAGCATGAGTGTGAGGCTCTAGCCCTGCCCACAGCTCTGGGATCCAATCAAGTGCCTCTTCTCTGAGTCCCAGTCTCTCCCTTGGTACCTTTAAAGATTAGAACCTTGGGTGCCTGGCTGGCTCAGTCGGAAGAGCATGGGACTCTTGATCTAGGGGTCTTGAGTCCAAGACCCACATTGGGTGTAGAGATTACTTAAATAAATAAATAAGCTTAAAAAATAAATAAGCTTAGAACCTACCCCCTTCAGCAGGCATCCTAGGCACCAGCCAAAGACCCTAATGAACTCTGGGAAGGACAAGATTTTAAAAGAACTAGCTATAAAGGGGCCCCTGGGTGGCTCAGTCAGTTAAGCGTCTGACTCTTGATCTCAGCTCAGGTCTTGATCTCAGGGTCCTTAGTCCAAGCCCCACATTGGGCTCCACACTGGGCATGGAGTCTACTTAAAAAAAAAATTTTTTTATTTAAAAATAAAAGAGCTAGCTATAGACTCCAAAGAAATGAGCAAATTTTCATATCCTACGTATCTTGATTACATATTCAAATCTTCCCAAAATACACAGACTGACCCTCAGCCCTGCCACTCTCCTTGGGGCTTCCCCAAACTCCTGCCTCTCCCCTTCTCCCAATGCCTCCCCACCTCTTCCTTCCCCCGCCCCATTCCAGCCCCCACCCCCAGCCCTCCCTCCAGCGGTTCCTGCTGCTCTAACCTCTGAGACAGAGACTGCCTACTAGACACCAACCAAGAGCAAGTAAGATCTAGGCTCCCCAGTCCCAGCCACACCCACCCCTTCCAAATGCCAGTCTCTGAGGGACCCACATTGTCACCATGTCTCTCCCCAGCCGCCAGATTGGAATCGGAACCAGACTTTCCAGCCTTTGCCAAAGGCAAGAGCACAGAGATGACCCAGTTGAGAGCTGAGACAGGGGAGGGACAGAAGGCCTTGGAGCTGGTGGTACTGGCTGCCTTCAGCAGGCATTGGACATTGAGCCCTGGGCACCAGCTGCTCAGAATCCACCACACACACACACACACACACACACACACACACACACACACACACGTTTTCATCATGGAAAATCCCGTGGGGAGAGTGAGGGAGGGCAGGAGGGAGTGTCAGAAAGTGCTCAATACTAGAGAACACTGGTGAATCTGAGAATGGGAATAGATTGAGAGTTTCTGGAAAGACATCCCTTCCCTCTACCTTCCCCTCCAGGGTGACACAACTCAAATCACCCCAGGGCCCATTCGTTTCCATCCAGCACCAGATCCCAACACTGCATAAGAAGGGAATGGTAGAGAGGCGTCTGCCTTTGGCTCAGGTCATGATCCTGGGGTCCTGGGATCAAGCCCCACATCGGGCTCCCTGCTCTGCGGGAAGCCTGCTTCTCCCTCTCCCACTCCCCCTGCTTGTGTTCCCTCTCTTGCTGAGTCTCTCTCCGTCAAATAAAATCTTTTTTAAAAAAAGAAGAAGGGAATGGTAGATCACAGACTGAACTTCCATCTCCACTGGAAAACCTGGGACTTGAGTTAAATATGAGGAAGACTTTGATAGGCTCAGGGAGTGGGAACGACCACCCAGGTCCAGCTGCAAAGCTGAGTGATGGATGGGCTGACTGGAGCTGCTTAGGAGGTGGGAACTTGAACCTGACGTGGAGGTCCTCAGCTGTGAGTCCTTAGGGGAGAAGAGGTGGCCAGGACGTCTCCCCTGCGACAGAGGACTAGGGAAGGGTGTCCAGCGACTGGGGACACCAGGGACAGCAGGCATCTTCACCTGAATCTGGCGCCCCATGGGTCGGTGGCGCTAGCCCCAGGCCAGGCCGCGGGTGGGTCCCGATTTGGGGGTCAGGCTCAATCCCAATACTGTCCTGTGGAGGGGGCGACTGAGAGAGGCCGCGACAGCTCTCTGCAGCGTTTCTAATGCCTTCTGGACCTGTGACCACTTTTCCTTCTGCGTCTGTCCGGCTCCCGTGTTCTGTTTTGCTCTTTTGCTGCGTCCTGCCGCGTAGTCTCTCCCGGGCTCGGAGACTTTCCCGTCCGTGCGTCCTCCGTGTCCGCCTCCTCACGCCCTCCCAGCCCGGTCTCTTCCTGGCTCCGAGCGCCCCTCCGCCGGCCTCCGCGTCCCTCCTCGCCCTGAGCCCCGGGAGCGTGCGCCCGCAGAAGGTGGGGAGGACGAGAGGGAGAAGGAGGAGGCCGAGGGGCGGGGAGCGGGGGAACGTGGGGATTGGAGCCGGCAGGAGGGAGGAGAGCAGCGCGGGAGGGAGCGAGGGCGGGCGCGGGGCGCGGCGGGCGCGGGAGGGAGCCCGGGCGAGCGCGGCGCCCGCTCCCGCCTCCTCCACCTCCTCCGCGTCGGCTCGGCGCGGGCCCGGCAGCATGGGCTGGCCCGGGGGCTCCCCCTGCTGCTGCCCCGCCCCGGCGCGCCCCCGCCCCGCCGGGCGCCCCCCGCAGGTGAGTGGCCGCGCGGCGCGGGGCGGGAGGGCGGTGGCCGGTGCGTCACGGCGGCCGGGCGGGGCCGGGGCCGGTCGCCAGGGGGCGCGGGGCGGCCCGGGGCGGCGGGGCCGCGGGCCGGCCGCTCTCGAGGCGGGGGCCGGGGCGCGGGCGGGCGGCGGTGCGCGGGGCAGCGGGAAGCCGACCAGGGGGCGGGGCGCGGCCCGCGGTCACACTGCCGTCCCGCCCTCGCGCGTC